GGGAGATGTCTCCACTTAGCTAACACCTACTATGGTTAGCTGTGTCTCTAATCCCCAGGGGACTGGTGGTGATTTGAGTTGGCTCAGTGGAGAAGACCCATCACTGTGATCCTGTGGTTGTTATGGGGAACAGAGGCAGACAGAAACTGCTGCAATGGTCTAGTGGTGCTTGAGACATCTTTAAGCATCAGATGCAGCTAGCTACTTTTCAGGATTTTTACTGCTCTCTTATTTTATATATTTATTTTGCCAAGCAGAAAAGCATTTGATATGGGTTCATCGCAGTGTAAAATAAAGACAAACCTTTAATCAGAATACCAGGTTGAAATTTAGATTGTGGAGTATTTGGTATCTTGCTGTATCACTAAATTTGTGTTTCTCTGAAGCTCTTTGTGCTGCAGTTCCTCTTGAGTAAAAGACTTTAAACTGTGCTGCTTTTCTCTAATCCTTTGTCTGCCAAGAGGAAAGGTTTGCTGTATCATTAAATATGTATAGTGCTTAGCATGTTCGTTCCAGGTCCTTTCCTGGTACTTCTGGGTGCATTTGTAGCACAAATAGTAGGGCCAGAGTATTGGTTCTATTCAGTGTGGCACCTAGAAATGATGAAGTTAGCAGGTGTGGGGGAAAACCTTTCTTTGCTTCTTTCAGACTTTCAATCAGTGGAGGTATTCTTCTGGAATAAAGTTGTTTCTAAGTTCTTTGCTTTAATGAATAATTTAATAAGGTTTTTAGAATGTGACAGGCCCTGTTCTTTAAAACAAGGCGTAATTGCTAGTACTGAAGTGCAGCAAAGAGTGAGACAGCAGCAACTATACCAAGAAGTGCCATCTCAAATAAGCAGGTTATTTTGGAGTACACCCAAGTCACTGATGTGTTCACTATGGCTCACTTCAAAGATGACTTTATTTTCTGAGGCAGGGTGGGTTTTTTGATTTAGTGTGCAGCATGTAATCACAAGTAGGTAATCAGAAAAGGCTGGGTTCTTTCACTAACAGATCACACTGTTCATGGAGTGGGGGCAGAATGAGAACAGCCACCTATGGCAGCACACATGTATATATATATATGCATATGTACATGTATATATAGGCATGCACATGCATACATTTGTATATATATATAAATGATGGAGATATATATATATGTGTGTGTGTATATATACCTTCTTGATGGCAATCCTCCAGAGAGCTTCCAGGGATTGCTATCTTCAGAATCACTGGTTATCTAAACACCAGTGCAGAAGGCTGTACTGTGACCTCACTGAATTGCATTAGGTGGGAATGTAAATATACACAATAACTAACTATTGACCTTTAGTCCTGAGCTATTTTAGGCAACCAGTCAGGTTTTACAGGGTAACTGACTAGCACATAGCTACAAGGCTTGTCATTGGAGGTGATATTCCTCCATGGGAAGGGCATGGAAGTCTACAGAGATTCAGCAAGTGATTCTGGTGTTAGAAGGGTTGAATTCAGGCTGTCAAGGCTTAGGATACCCATCACATAATGTGCGTGGCAGAAACCTCCTATGGCAAGGAGTGCTTTAAAACTGCTGATGCCATCGTAAGTAGCCAGTTCAGCCAGAAGTGCTGCTGGGGTGTTAAAGATGGTGTGTATGCCAGAAGCTACAGAGTGAGGAAGGCTTTGATTGCTTATTTTTGCAGCCTCGTCAGAGCTGAGTATTGCATGAGACCAACATCAGAGCTCCAGCCTAGCTGGATCCACCTCTCTGTTGCATTCTCCTGTCACATTGCCTCTTCTTTGCCCTGTTCTGGCCAAGGCTGCCAATGTTTCTTCTTTACTTTGGCACTTCTCTGCCTGATAGTTTCTGTACCTGAGTCATTAAACCCAGGAAAGCTGTGTGGACTGGCCAGCATCAGTTGCATGCACTCTGCTTCTAGAACTGGTGAACTTCTTGGGCTCTTGGCAGCAGCTTGCATTTTGCTGTGCTCTTCTCAGTGAGTTGTGGCTCTCTATTAGAGGCTCATTGCGCTAACCAACTAATGGTCCTCTTGCCACTGAAGCTAGGGAAGTGACTGACTAAATTAAACCAGCTCGGTAAAAGAAGTGGTTAGCTTTACCTCACCTTGCTATCCTAATCTGATTTGCAAGGCAGCTCTGTAAATAGTTTCATGAGCAAAAACCATGGCAGGAAAAGAGGATGGGCTGAGAGACTTGGCAAAAGCCATTGAACCATTGAGCCATGGCTGTTGTTGGTAGCCACAGCTTACATTAGCTTAAAACGAGGGTGGGGTGTAACTTCCTCTAATATTTGGTGTTCTAATTTGTGGTGCCTTTCCAAGTGTTTTAACTTCTGCTCGTATTTTGGTTGCATTTGCATTATGTATGAAGGTGGAGCAAAGGACCTTTTGTTTTGAAGCAGGAAGATGAGAGGAAATGTGCCTCAGATGTGGGGCTTTTGCAAGCTGCTCTGAACAGTGCTGGCATCTAGAAACAGAGTAGTAAGCTTGAAATGCAAATTAAATTCTGCCTTTTTTTTTTTTTTCATCCCAGACTTTTGATTTCCCAAGTGATGAGACGTTGACATCATCTTGGTGCTAAGCATTTGGATCAAGAAACCAGTAACATGGTTTCAGAAGGGAAATTTTGGATCATTGAATCTAGTCATCTGCTATTTTACACGGTCACATCGTATATACCGCTGTCTTTTTTTTTGGAAGCTTCATTGTTAAAATGAAGGTGTGGAGAGATTATATTTATTCTAAGCAGGTTACCTTCTGTGATTTGGTTATAACATAAAACCTGAGTCAGATTTATTAATTGATTTGTGACTCTGGTTCCAACAATATCTGGCTCTCTTTCCATGGCAGAAAGCAACATGCTTTTTTACTGGTTCAATATTTTGTTTTTAGAAGATTGCTAAATATGTCTTTTTAAATAATTAAGTCTTATTAATTTTCATTTGCATGATTATAGCATCAGATTTTAGTGTCAGGTCTTTCACTAATTTGTCAGCCTTTAAAAAAGAAAATAATTACTGCACAAACTCTTTTGAAAAGACAAGGTTTGAAGTCAGAGATGTTCTTTCTTTTAGAAGAGGTTAAGCATCAAATAGAAATTAAATTTTCCAGTAATACCTGAATTCACCTCACTGTATGATCAACATTCTGTATTGTTAGCTTGTGCAAGTGGTATAAAATGCAAAGAACCATAATTTACAGGATAAAGCAAATAACTGATGTGTAAGTCTTTAATTTGTTTTGTCACAGTCATGACATAGTTCAGTTTGCTTTCTGGCTCAATCTCTTGTTTGTTATTCTGTACGTGTACCTAGCTGGGCAGGATGGGAAATAAGTTACAGTGGCTTACTATGGATCAAGAGGCGTGTGTTTAGTCTTGCTCTTGTCTCTTGCAGACCCACCTGTTAAATGGATACCTGTTTCATCAGGCTCAGTGCACCTGAAGCATCCCAGTGTGAGGCCAGATACACTGGTCTCAGTAGTGCTGTTGGCTACAGAAACAAAACCTTAACAGATGAGTCCTGTAAAATGGAAGATGATGGTTGTATCTGATTTACAAAGTAGTGTGTGTCCTAGTATGCCTGTCTTCTCTCACAAAGAAGAGTATAATGTGTGACAAGCTATTGCTTTTGCTGTGAGAGTGTAAAAGCCTGCAGCAGCCTTGTTTAAGTGTACCATAGAGTCTTTTAATAAAGTGAGTATAGGATTAAAGAGGTCTGAGAGAGATACAGTGTGTGTGTGTGTTGCACCATGACCAGAGATCATCAAAGCAGTGATGACTGAGCTAGCTCTGGCATCTCCAGCTGACGTACAGGGCTAGGCACAGCATGCTTCTGGCAACACACCTTTCATGACATGAATCTTTCCTAGTCTGGCTTTGCGCACTTGCCTGGCCCAGGTCTGTGCTGGCTCTGCTGGTTTTTGTACAGCCCAGCATGGTGTTGACGCTCGTGTTCTGATTGCATTATTCCTTCCAGGGTTTCAGACTTCGCTCTGTAGATCAAGCAAGCTGTAAACCTTTGTTTGAATTTTGAAATGCAAGTAGTGTTTTGCAGCAGAGGGTGAGCAGCACAGCCTGTCCAGCAGCTGTGGAACATGGGAGAACCAGGTTTAAAAATTCTCTTTTATGTGATTATCAATTCAGGTGTCCTTCTTGCCAAAACTTCTAGGAAGAGTCAAGAAGTTTCTGTTTGTGACCCATAGAATATAGCCCATCATGCCCCAACTCTGAGACAATGATTGTTTTTACCATATTGATTTTAGAGACTTGTCTATAAAGTGTTAAATACACCAAGAGTTTATCTTTCTTTTTTTTTTGGGGGGGGGGGGGGGTTAGTTCAGCTGAATTGTGAATTCTTCAGTTATTCTACATCTCAGTGTGCTCTTGTTGGGTCTTATGAACATGACTGCTGCCACACCTCTTCTCCAGGTAGGTGGAAGACCCTGTCAGAGTAAGAGCAGGATGAAAGGCCTTGCAGAATACAAAGTACTTCAAGGAATGGTCTGGTTTGGCAGATGGTGCTCCTGTGTGCGTGCTAGTAAGGAAAATAACTCCCCAAGTAGTGTTTAAGTTACTGAATTACTGAGAGCTCTGTCTTGTGAAAAAAAGCCCCAAGCTTCTAATCTCTTGTCATCATTGTAAGTGGAAGGATTAGCTATTATGTGGTAGTTAAATTCCGACTAGTCTATACATACACCTCCACCTAATTGTTCTAATTACCTTAGTGTTGCTCATTTCCTGAGCTATTGTTCTGTGCAGTGTTTGACAGCTGGCAGGTTCTGCTCCAGAGATGGCTGCATTTGACCTTGCGGAAAAACGTTTCTGTTCTGATTACTACCTTTCCTAAGGATGAGGGTGTGTGACCTCCAATTGCAAATAGAGCCACTTCCTTGAATATCTGATGCAGAGTGATATCTGACTCCATATGCTGTTTGAGCCTGAAGGTGATTCCTGTGCATACCAAACTCTTCTGACCCGTGACTTGCTTTTGTTTGTTTGTTTATTTTACTTTCACTGCAGGCTGGAAGTCCAACCTCTATTTCTGCCCCTCACAGCTTCTCTCAGACTTCTGTTACACCATCCAACCAGGACATCTGCAGGTAAAGTGTGCTGTTTGCATGGCCACAGTGAGGCTCATGCGAGCTTCAAGTTAAGAAAAAACAAAACCTGGAAAGCATGTGTATGGGGAAGTAAGTGATGGGGGCCTATGTGAAGCATCCTATTTGTTTGACTCAGCTGCTGTCTAACACTGCTTTGTCAAATCCCACTGACTGTTTGGCCCTGTTACATTTGCCATTCTCACACTAGCCATAATTTCTCATTTCTTCACTTTTAATTATGTGTGTTCTCTTTTGTAATTGTTTTTTACTTTCTGTGCTTTTATTCCACTGTTCTGCATGCAGTTCCAGTGCAGTGTTTTCTGAGTGTTGTCATCACAGTCCAGTGCAGTCTGCTGTTGTCTTGAGAAATCCTCACTGCCAGAGCCCTCTGACACAAGGGGTCACTGTGACAGTAATCTGTCAGGACAAGTTGCGTGCAGCAAAGAGAAACTCCTGTGGGCAGGATCGGGGCCAGGCACTCAGGTCTGCTAAGAATGTAAAGCCCATCTGCACTCTGAAATTCTCCAAGTCTCTCAATGACGTGGACCAGAAGGCGCAGAGCACCAGTGAGTGCTTTGACTATGTGGACCGAACATGCTCAGAAGGCAAATTGACCCCGACTCAAGAGCAGTGTTTAAGGATTAACAAATTTCATCTTAATGAGAGGAAACCACTGAATCTCAGGCCTCTTTCTTTTACCAATTCTAAGCACTCCTATATCCCTTCCCTTTCCAACTACTCGAGTGCATCGGGAGGAACAGAGAACCACAACGCTGTACATATCCCCTTGCTGGAGGACAAAGTGGACCATGACACCTCAAGGAGCAAAAAACTGTTGCGTTACTTTTTTTCCTTCTCCCACACCTCCAGCACCAGCAGCCTGCATAAGTTCCACGAACTGGAGAACTATTCCAGTCACTTCCAAGCTGACAAATGCTCCAGCGTGCTGGTGGAAAGCACAGACTTCTGCTCTGATGATACGGGAGATGATGACGTCTTTGAGGACAGCACCTCAGTAAAATTAAAAACAAAAGAGCAGCGGGCGCCCCTCTGTTCAGTTGAGAAGGACAGTGACCTTGACTGCCCTTCCCCCCTCTCAGAAAAATTCCCCCCTCTGTCCCCTGTGTCCACATCGGGGGATACCTGCAGGTTGGTTTACCAGAGAACCACCTATTTTTGAGCCCTCCCATGTGTGGTGGTGACTGTTCTGCTTTTCCCTGCCCTTGTGCTGTTTCTGTCTTTTCTTTCACCCTGTCACCTGGCTTTAATATGTGCAATTTGAAGCATGCAGCCTTCTATCTGCTGTCCTGCATGCCTCTGATGCACTTAACAAGGCTACTAAACAAAATAATTTCCTCTGGAGTCAAATAAATTCTCTTGCAATTTGTTTCATGTTTGGGTTTCTGAGATGGTATTTTTCTCTTATCATTGCCCAAACTGGGAGTATCATAAGAGAATCAGCTACACATATAAAAGGCCAAACTGAACATGTCTTGGCTTTTCTTGAGCCAGGTATTGTCCTGACAGACATTGCTGGTTTGGTCGGAGGGTGGAGAGTCGGAAGGAAAACAGGTTGAAAATTGCTTCTGAGATCAGGTTGATAGAGCCTAAGGTATTTTTTATGTCTCCAACAGTTTGTATCCCACCATGCTCTTCTATAGTAAAGGGCTTTCTGGATGCCTTAGTCAAAATGAGGGTCTGAGTGCCGTGATATCCATAGTGCAAGATCCAAAAAGGATGGGTATGCTTGTTCCAGCTGCAGAGGATTTAATCATGCACAGGTGGTGGGAACAAGCAACTCTGGACTGTCTTCATGGTGACTTGTCTGCAGGTTTGCCACAGCTCCAGCTCCAAAATGTGACTGAGGAGCAGGCATCGCCATGTACAAGAGCAAACATCCCATCCCTCTATCTCTCATTTTACTATCCTGATCTTTCTCCTTGCTGACAGCAGTTTCTGAAGCTGCCTTAGTTAGTATTGCCAATATTATTTGATTCCCCCCTTCATTACCATCAAAATCTCATTCCATATTGGCTTGTCATCAACAAGACACTGCTGTAATCCACCCACTCCTTCATTTCCACTTGCCAGCTATCAGCAAGGTTGCAAGAGGCAAGATGCTACACATCAGTAAGAGATTTCAGTAATAGACAGGGATGGCAGCATGCCAGGATGTACTTCACATATGCTTATTAACTTGTATTCATTCTTTGAGCTCCTTACCATTCCCATTTCAGTTCATGACCTCTTCCACATGGTTAGAAGGGTGTAGTGGTGTTTCATACAACCCAAGGGTCATGTATAAATTGAAGCTGGAAATCAAATGCCAGCATCTGGTAGTAACACTATATATAAGGGGGTCCTAGCTGTCTGCATGATTAGGCTGTGAGGGAAATGGGGAATTTTGCAGAGCTGATGCTGCCTTATTAGCAAAGTAAGAATTAGAGGGAAAACCCATTCATCCATTTACAGTAGGTGTAGTCTGGGGAGATTCAGTGCTGTAGCTTTGCAGTGTGGATCTGTCTTTTAGCAGTTGGCACTAGAAATAATCACTTGTCTTGTGCAAAATCCAGGCTGTCTAAATTAACCCTTCATGATACTGGATTGGGCTGTTTCACAATTTTGGGGGGAATTTTGTTTTATCTTTCATTTCAGATTGTAATCCATGAGTAGCTTTAGCCCTCTGTGCATATTATGTCTTGGGAAGTGCTATCTGATCTGTATATTGAAGATATACAGATCTATTTTCAGTTAAGTGCTGTTGTTCTAGATGAAGCATCATTTCCTACCCTGTTTTTTCTTTTGGATACAGCATTTCTATCAGATTACGCATGTCTGCCTCATCTGTTAGAAAGTGGCTTTCTAGTTAGCAGTGTCTGTGCCCAATTATTTTGTGCCTGTGTATGTGCTTGCACAGCAGTGGAATTCTTTACTTTAGCTCCTTTATGGAACACATTCCTTTGATAGGTATGTCTCAGGATACTCAATGGGCAGCCATGTGTGATCACAGGTATTACATGCCTCTTCCACATCCTTTCTGCTTCCTCTTCTCCTAATGATCAGCTTTTCTTCTGATTCAGGATATGTCACTGTGAAGGAGATGATGAGAGCCCTTTGATTACACCCTGTCACTGCACAGGAAGTCTTCATTTTGTGCACCAAGCCTGCCTGCAGCAGTGGATCAAGAGCTCAGATACACGATGCTGTGAACTGTGCAAGTATGAGTTCATCATGGAGACAAAACTGAAGCCTTTGCGAAAGGTAGGCACAAGACCTGCTTTCCCAGGGAAATGCTTTCTTAAACACAGATCCACTTTGAAAAGAAGCAGCCCTTGCCCATGAGTTCGCAGGACCCCCCACATATTTATCATGTTTCTGTGGCTCTTTAGTAAGCCTGGTCAGTTTTGTATGGGTGCAAAAAGATTTAAATTAACACTCAGCATGGCAAATTCACCATCAGTGGAATTCAGCTCTGAGAGTTATCTATTGTAGCTAAACTGACTGTAGCTTGGCAGCTCTCTGTGTGTTTTTCTGTGCTTTCTCTGCTTGGAGTGGGTGGGAAGCAGTTTCTTAGTATTGTGCCCTGTGGGAAAAAGCTGTTGGGCACCTTCAGAAATGAATCACTCAGCATCATTAGTTATATCTGAACAGGTCATCTGTAGGAAAGAGGCTAGATGCCAGAAGGTAGAGGCAGGGCCATAAACAGAAGAAGAAGAAATTTCCTTTGAAATATATCTAAAAAGTCTTTTTAGAGATTCAGCTGAAGCCAGAAGATAAGCAGCCTCTGTATCTTCAACTCAGCCTTTATGGTATCCTGTCAGTCAGGAGAAAACAGCCTGGAACTGGTGATTATGAGCATGATGGGACAAATAATATGGTTTGTGCTTGATTGTAGGGTAGAAATGGAATTAAACTTCCTCAGTATCTTAAGGTTGTATTGCAGCTGTTCAATCGGGCTGTTCAAGCGCTAAGTTAGTAAGGGAAGAGGATGAGAAACAAAATGTGTCAGGTTCAAGATAAGATGAGGGAAGACAAGAAATGGATGCTCCATTTTAAAATCTCAACGGAAAAAAAAGAAAGACATTATATCCAAATTTTCTGCTGTTTTTTGTTTTGTTTTATTTGGTTGGTTGGTTTGTTTTAACCCCAGAAATCCTATTTTAACTCGTAAATGCTGTATCATCAGAATAATGCCTCAGGGGTGTACAGATTCTGGTTTCCTTTCTGGGCTACTGCACACTTAAATAGTTAGCAGAATATCTTCTCTTTCGCTGTGCAGTCATTATCTCTTGAGGAGATGAGGTCCTCACATTGGGTTGGTGGTTGTGGATCCAGCAGCTCAGAGGAGGTATTGTCCAGCAGAAAAGAGAAATATAAATCAGTCAAAGCACAATTCCTTATGGCCCTGTAAAAGCATTCACAAATAAGTTTCACATGCATACTTTTTGACAAAATAATTTAATTTATACTTTCTACCAAAAGTAAAAACCTTTGTTTAGACACTAAAGCGATTTTCTCTTTAAAATAACATCCAAATGTAATGTTTTGTCCAACCTTTTTCTAAGAAGATTGAAAGAACATAGCTTTCTAGCATGACATGAGTCTAGCATGCCATTGCAAGAAGTACTGAATTCAGGTGTTCATCATGAGATTTAGATGCCCGCAGAACTGGAGATGTGGCTTGGACTGGCCAAAGGCATTGTTGGCAAGACAAAGAGGATCACAAAGTCTCTGTTTAATGTTTCAATTATTCTTTTATTTGTAGCACTGGAAACAGTAATTCACTATAATGGGTGATCTCAGTCATACCAGTCAGGTCATCCTTGCTCTCTTCCACATTATTTCTTCTTTTCAAAGTCCTCTTTTTCTGAAAATTACTCTAGAAGACATCAAATGCACCTCTCTAGAAACACATAGGTATGTATGAAAATCCTGCGTGCCCCAGCATATATTTTGTGAAAGTGTGAGAAAAGCCCATCTTAACTTTCTGTTCCAAGCAGATATGCTGAGGGATGTGTATCCCACATGGAAAAACTTTTATCATATATATGGGAGAAATTTCAAAAAATAATTAAAAAATAGGGTGTCTCAGGTTAAAAAAAAAAAAAAAAGCTGGTTTGTTTTTTTTTACAATTCCTTGCACATTAGAAGCATCTAAAATAATTTTCTGCTTTCTTTGTGTCTTTCCTAAATACAGTGACCTGACTTTGTGGTTTCTTGTGGGCTATATAAACATCATCAATAGTCTGGGGATTTAATTTGCTGCATCCTCTCACTTACAAAAGCTGTCATCCCACTTCTGCTGTGTGTTCTTAGGGCATATGTATTTAAGTGCACTTGAAATGCTGAAAATAAAATACGGGTGTCACGGCTGTAAGTAGTGTTAAATATATGTGAAGATTGAATGAAACCCCCAGAGGTAGGAGGTGAGAACTAAACAGCCATGAGCTGAGAGCTAAACAGCCTTCACTGTGCACAGAGGGACTCTTAACAGAGCTCAGCATGAGATGTCTTACACACACCGGTCAATTGTTCCGTTTGCATTGCAGTGTTTTATTGAATGCCTGCCTGAGCAAGGCTACCCTTTGACACTCACAATGCTCAGCTGTCACTGTGGGTAGCTGCTGTCGAGTGGGGAACACATGAAAGAGCAGCCTTGCTTGCACTGCACAAGGTGTTAGGGTCCTTCTGTGCTGGAGTTGCCCCTGTGTGGGTAAGCAGGGTGCGATGGCATTGTGCTGAGGCTCCAGATGGCAGCTGAGCACTGGAGGTCCCGTCTGGCACTGGGATGGCTCCCATCACAGCAGAGTGAGCTACCACATGTGCTGTGGTCATGATGTTGTCTGACTTTTAAAATCCATGCTAGGAGGAAACCAGTCTCCTGCTGGTTTTTGTTCTTATCAATGTTCTCTTTCTTTATACTGTCCAGTAACTACAACAAACACCTAATCCCTTGCTCTGTTTCTGGGTTCCTTGCCAGTGGGAGAAGCTGCAGATGACAGCCAGTGAAAGGAGGAAGATCATGTGCTCTGTAACATTCCATGTCATTGCCATCACCTGTGTTGTGTGGTCTCTCTATGTCCTGATAGACAGGACTGCTGAAGAGATTAAACAGGGACAGACTACTGGTATGTTACTTTCTTATCTTCCCTCTTACTCTTTTGGAATAATTAGTTATCCTGAATGCAGAGAGGACGAGGAGCATGAGAGTGCAGGTAGTGTTTAAATGAGAATAGTCAGCTTTAGCCTGAGGTTAGGTTAGTTTTAAAGGGTGGTTCTAAAATGATTTAGTGAAATCTGTATAAATTAATCTGTGGGTGCTTTTTAAGTCTACTTCAAGTCAATTTAGTCTGTGTTTGTGACATGCACAGATATGAGAACTAATCCACTGTAGCCAGACACAAAATTGCACTGCCTTAGCTGATTTAGTTTAAATTGGAACTTGTACTGGGCAGATAAGGAAGTAAGTATTTGTTTGCTGCTATGGCTACCTTTTAACTGGGCAAAACCAGAAGAGTTTTCAAATAGAGAAGAATTAAGAAGGACCTAAATCAAAATCTTTGAGCTTAATCATCAGGGTTTTCTTCCTAGTTGGTCATCTGTGAGGTGGGTTAGTACAAGTTTCTTGTGACTGCCATGTTAGACTGGAGAAATTTTTTGTGAGTGGTTGTGCCTGAAGCAGAAGAAATTCAGGGTGATTCTTAGGACTCAAATTCACACAACTGAAGTCGGGTGCACTGCAGTTCACGGCGCGTTTGCCACCACAGTGCACTCATATATTAACTTACTGAACATCAGGTATTCTGTAGTACACCAGGTGTAAACTTGCCAATCTGCAATCTGTTTACCTGGGTATGCCGGGCTACAGGTTTGCAGCTGTTGCAGAACTACTCAGGCAGCTGAGCTGTTCCTGAAGGTGGGGATAGAAGGGACAGGTTATCTGCCAAGGCTGGGAGCCATTAAGAGGCAAGCTGTTCTTGCTTGCAGAGTATTGAATCCCAACTAGACATGCAGGTAGAACATGTTTTATTGGTGATTGAAGAGCATCATCTGGGGAGGTAGTTGAGCATCAGTAAACCTGCAGATCCACAGAGCTGTTACAGTCTCTTCACAGCAGAATAGTACTTCAGACTGAACATTTTTGCTGTCATGTCTCATTTGGGCTGTAGTTTGATAGCTTGTGACTTCAGTCAGGAATCTGCTTTGAATGAAATCTTTTAGTTTCTGTTCTATCCAACCCCATCTCTTTCATGCGCAGTGAAATTTTTTGGCCTTTCAGTGTAAGGTTTCCGTATAATAATGAAAAGCATATACTTTCAAAGATTTGTTATCTCCATGTTATTTCAGCCAATAAGTATGTTAGATGAACATCAGTAGAAGGAATAGGGTGAATATATAGTATGTACTAGTGCTTTCTTTGCTCTCTTCATTTGGATTCTAAATCTCTAGGATGCTGTAATGAGCTCAGGGGTGTGTGGAGTGTGTGTGGGTATACATTCATGTCTGCCCAGGAGCAAGCATATACTATCACTGCCTACAGATGACATCAGATAGCTCACCTGTGAATCAGAGATTCAGGTATTAATCATGGGTGGGATTTTGAAAGTAGTCATGCTGCAGTGCCTTTTGTATTTTGGGACTAAAATATTTTCATTCCCCCCCCATGCTGCCATGCATTTCCAAAAGAGCACTGGCCTATATCATGGTCAAAACTTTGAAGACTTGATTTTATTCTCTGAGAAACCTGATAGTGGGTAATTCAGCATGCTTTCATATCCATCTTGTGGTGCCGCCTACCCTTAAAGAGGAGAGGGGCTGGGTGGATACAGGACTTATGTAAGCAGATGATGTATAACATTAATAGTCTGTCATTTAGAAGTAGTTGATAGAGATGTAACAGGATCCAATGTCTAAAAGTTCGAGTTGGACAGCCTTAGGAAAAGTAGTGATGGTCAGTTTTAGTGATGGAGGGTAAACTTGCCAGAATGCTTCAGCATTTCTAACACTAGATGCTTTAGTTCAACTGCAAGTTACTGGGTCTGATGCAGATAAAATTGTCTGGTCTGCATAACAAAGATATCAAGCCAGATGATAACAGTCATTCCCTTTTGAACTTAAAGTCTATGACTCCACGTACTGTGTGATCACGTAGTGGAACAGACTTCTTGGTTCTCTGAGTTGAGCCTGCTGCTATGAAACAGAAACCATGCCACAGAACTCTTTTGATCATCTGATCCAATTTTTGTTTAAAAACAGGTGTTAAAATACCTAAATATTACTGGCTGTTGCCTTGACTCTGCTTGTGATTGTGCTGCACAAGAGCTCAGACACAGAGACTCAGTTGTTCTGTTTCTTTTTCCTCTGGTGGGTGAAAATATATGTAATACATGAAGTAGAAGTCTGTGTGTGTTTGAATTGAAGGAGGGAGGGGAAGGCCAAACAAGAAAAATGGCAAAATAAAAATAGCTTGTGTGGAACAAACTCTGACAGTTTTCTTACAGGATGTTTCTGAGAAATGTGTAGTCCATCCAATACTGACCATGTCCTTTTTCTTTCTTCTTTTTTAATTTTCTTTGTTCCAGGGATTCTAGAGTGGCCATTTTGGACTAAGCTGGTGGTTGTGGCTATTGGTTTCACTGGAGGACTTCTTTTCATGTATGTACAATGCAAAGTGTACGTACAGCTATGGAAGAGACTTAAAGCTTATAACCGAGTAATATATGTACAAAACTGTCCAGAAACTAGCAAAAAGAATATTTTTGAAAAACCTGCACTAATGGAGCCAAACTTCGAAAGTAAAGAAATGCTTGGGGTTCACCATTCAGACACAAACTCTTCACATTACACAGAGCCAGAAGACTGTGCTGCAGAAATCCTTCATGTCTGATTGCTGGGTGGGAGGGGTGTTTCTGTATGTTCTTGAAGATTTAAAATACCATTGTTTACTGCAAACTGCTCTACCTTTTTAAAATCAGCTAACAGCTGAGAGCTGGTGGATGAGGTTTTTTTACATTTGTTTTTTGTTGGAATATTTTTAAATCCCTTTGGCATATCTGTCAATGTGATCATGGTTGCATACCTCTCAACATTTTGTCTCTCGTACTGGCGTATCAGAGCCACAGGATACTGGGTAGAATGAGCGTTGGGTTGATATCAAGCAAGTCACTAGTGAACTGTCTTCAACTTCATAGAGTCTGTTACTTTAGAAGATGACTCTGATTCTGGAATATGTGTAGAGTGGGGTTTGTTTGTTTGTTATTCTTTAAGCATGATGAAGGAGGTTGTCCCAGACACTGAGGGAAATGAGAGAGCTAGAGTCTAATCTACCACTAACACTGCCACTAACATTTTGTCTTAGGCAGCAGGTGTAAAATTTTGCTTTACATATTGTGATGAGACTTACAAAGCATATAGCACTTTTAAAAATCTTTATTTTGTAATATGTATGTCAAATGAGAATGAAACTTGAACAAACGTGTCATTTTTGAAACATTTCTTCATTCTTTACCCCATGTTTTCTTCTGGAAAGTAAACATCTTGCCTTACACACAAAAAAAGGAAAATTAAAAAAAAATCCAACCTGTGATTTCCAACACATGCCCACATTATCTTACTAAACGTAACACTAAAAAACTCTGCTTCTTTGGGTTTCCTTTGAGGAGCAGTTTTTTTCAAAGGATATTGCACTTGTGTATGGGGAGTAGTAGATATGTACAGCATTTGTTTTCAATGCGTAACTGTTTCAGTGCTCTGTTTTGGGAATTGGTTCTGTTTTTTTGTTTTTTCAACAAGTCAGATCATCAACACACCTGCACATACATACCTGAAGTAACTTTCATTCCAAACCGTTGGCAAAGGGTTTGTTGCTACATTGACAAAAATGTGAGCTGTTACAGAAAAAAAAAGATAGTCAGTACAGCTGAGATTGGTTTTCCCTCTTCAGTACTGTGTCATGTGTGAATTACCCAAGAATTTGATATTGTCAGAGGGGATGCTGAGATCAAAGTCTAGGAAGTAAATACTCCATCAAGTGGATGAGTTTAAAAACGCCTGCCTGGTTTTAGTCCTGATGTAATGCAGTACATGGTCAGAGAATAGTTTTGTCTGTGGATTTGAATTTGGGACTGGCTTTTTAATCAGTCAGCCTTAATGAAAAGAGAGGGACAGCTTTAAAATCTGTTTGCAGGGCTTTAGACAGAGTTGCCTGAAGCCTGGGGTGTCTGCTGTTAATTTGCTTGACCAGTCTGCTTCAGTGAACCACCGTCCAGCCTCAAGCCCTCATTCAACCAAAGTCTCAGTGTGACTAGAGCAAAAACAAAGCCCCATGAAAAATCAGCACAAGAAGCTGACTTTCCTTACCTGAGCCACATCCAAATTTCTCTAAAGTCATTGATAATCTTCTGGTTGGTCTTAGTAGGAATTGCCTGGGCTTAGTTAGGTAAAAGCTTCTGTTTACTTGAGACACTGAATTGAATCCTCAGCTCTTGTTCAGATTTTACATAGTCTTTTTTCAAGTACAACTTTCATTGGGCAAGTTCTTTACATAATAAAAGTAGTTGTTTTAAGACTTCCCCAAGAACAACAGTAAGAGATTGGTGATTTTTTTCCTTAAAATGGAATATTAATTTATTTCTAAATTACTATGTTAAAGGAAGGCAGAGAAGGGACTATGGAAAGAGAACACACACCATTGGTTTCTAAGAACTGATATAGGAAAAGCGTGCCTCTGTGTGATCTCGTGCTTGAAGCTTACTGCCTGTGATCATCATGAACAACATGGTACCTTGTTCTAGAGGTATTTGTAAATACCAAGACCTTTAGGCAGTCCTAGCAAAAGCTGCAGTGGCATGGGTTTGCGTACTGTGCTGGGTGTCAGGACATCCCATGCTTACATGATACAGGCAGACAAACCCTGCATACCCTGCTACTATCAGGATGGCAGTCTTCATGATCATGCACATGTAGAGCTTTTTGCCTATGCCTACCGTAATTTAAAGTGCAATTACTCAGGCCCTTTCCTGAACTCTGCTGTGGGTCATCCTCTTCTATTACGAGAACCCAGATAATATGCTGTCTTGTTTTGTTTTCTATTTTGTTCTGTGAAAAGATTTACTGGATAAACTCAGGTGGTTAAGTATCGGGTCTTGCACACCTTACTTGTGTTCTTCTGAAATGCCTGAATGCACAAGGCTTACCTGTCTGCAAGATGTTCACTTTACAACTGCAAGATGCAAAGAATCATCTGCCAGCTGATGCTGTGTGCATCCTCATCCAATCTGTGGCCAGTAGGTGAAATGAAAATGGTCATGTTCTGGTATGAAACCTGTTCTCCAGCTCATACCTAAGAGGCACTAGTATCTGACCGATGTTCTGACAAGTGCCAGTAAGGCATACTGTAACACACTGGTCCTTCATCCATCATCGTCAGATGTGATCCTTGGTGAAACGTTGTGAAATATCATTTGGTGTTTTGGAAGCTCCATGTGGCACATGCCAGGTAGTGTTCAGTGTATTCAGGATACTGAAGGTTTTTGCTGTGCCCCTGTGTATCTTGGGAAGAAAAAATCGTCTCCGGCAAAATCATCTGGAGGAAAATATTTGTGGATGAAATTGTTGCTGCTTACTTACCATTCCATCTCCTCACAGGTCTTTCCTGAACAAAAATAAAAGCCTAATGTTTAAACTTAGTGCTTAGGAATGCTCATGCCAGGAAGAGCTGCAGAAGATCCATCTGTCAGGGGGTTTCATTTATGCTGGTCACACTTCTCATGCTGATTCTTGCTTGGTGTTAGCAGTGGGCTTTTGAGCTGTAATTTCTGCTGCATGGTGCCATGAAATGCTGTGAGAAGGCTGAATGGTGCTTTTTCCTTCTTTCTCCTCAAGGAGATGCTGTTGACTTGTTTTCAGCTTCCAGCTGTGAGGCACTGATGCTAGCTCAGGTGAGCTCTGTCCTTCCCACTCAGATGTCAGTAAGGGGAATGACCACCCTTTGTCAGTTCAGGCTTTCCAACACTTCCTTCTGGTAGCTTTTGAAATGACTGAAATAGAAGTCTGACTTCTTTTGGTCCTTGTTCCTTGGCCGAAGTCAGTTCAGGTTACCTGATTTTTTGTCTGAGACAAAAATTTAAGTAGGATGAAATGCAAGCTTAATACCGTCTACCACGATCCTCTCCCTAGACTGCCAGATGGTACATCCCATGCCGTAGACATCTGACCAGTCATCCATTCTGTTGATTTAAATCCTGTCCAAAAAAGCGCTGCCTGTGCCAAGGAAATTTCCCCACCGTGTCATATTTGGTGTATCTCTCACGTCATGAACATGCATTATGATACAGGTGTGTGCTGCAGAAAGTTGATCCCATTTAAGAGATCATGAGATGTTAAATTCCGATGAATTCTCAGGACTTTCTTCAACTGTAACCCTGTATTTTGGAAGTGGTCATGGTGTGTAAAATGTTGCCCTGTGTTCTGAAGAGATGGCCAGACCTGGGGACAGCTTCCTGTGGCTGAATGTCGTTGAGATTGGCTTTGTTTCAGTAGGAGAGATTCAACAAAGGTTACACTGTGCCTGCAAGGAGTTAGAGAAGTGCTGGGCCCCTGTGTTGTACCTGAGAAATCCTGGGAAGCAATAGTAACTCCCTGTCCAAACCTACTTCTGCCAATCCCCTGTACTGTGTTAGAGCATCAGTCCTACTTGTGGCAGTGCTATAAGGCAGGGTCTGTTTGGTGTGTTGCTCTTCAAAAACCTTTGAAGTGATGCGTGGATATGGCCACATGGTGGGAGCAGGTTGCTTCTGGCCTGTATTTGGCTGGCTAATTATCTATTGCAAAGTGGGATCCAGATTTCTCCCAAGCTGAAGCGTGTGAAGATACAGATTTCTGGTATAGTCTGCTGTGGAGAGACTGGCCAGCAATGAAAGGGAGGTCAGTGACGCTAGGTTGGTTCCCTCTCAAATATGAGTGACACAGGGCAACTACAGGAGCAAGGGTATTGCTGGCTGGATTTTCACAGCATTATGTTAGATACACAAAGAAAACATGTAAGCGGGACCTTTTATTTTGGGATTATCTTTTAGTTTTGAGATATTGCAGTGTGTGCATATTCCAATGAAGTACTGAAAACACTTGTCTTTGTATAGAAGATAACTGTTTGAAAATTGCAGCTGATCTTGTATTTAGGTAAAACATTTGTAGATAGGTAATTGTATAACGTTAAACAACTTTACACTGGCATGTGTTGTATAGTTTATACAGGACACTTCACACTTCTGCAGAATTTTTTAGTTACTAAATTTCTGGTAACTTAAATGTATAGTTTTGTATCCTCTCATGTATGTTTTCTCAGTATTACCACTTGCAGAATTATTTTTAGTTTCTTAAACTGTAATTGGTTATTTGTGTGATACACAGGGTTATTGACTGCAGCAATAAAGTGTTTCTATAAAAAAAAAAAAAACAGAACAAGCCAAAACCATTATAGTATCCATTGTGTTTGAAAAAGCATGGGAGGCCCACATGAGAAAACAAATGAGCTCTTCAGTAGTGAGATGACGATTAAAGTGAGTTACTTTCACTGGAGTAAACACAGAACTTGATGGCTCTTCAGTGTAGCAGGCCAGTACAGTCCATGACAGTTTGATGTTAAAATGATTCATAATGATGAAGGGATAGTTAACAATCAGAATAAGTGGGCGACTCCTTCAGTGCAGTGAAATGTGGCTGTGCAGGTGCTTTGGGCTCAGATGCAGGAATCATGAGGAGAATTTTCTGGCTTGTGCTGTGAGGAGGTGGGAAGAGAGGATTCCTGTGAGCCTTCTGGAGTCAACACTGAGTGTTGCTATGAATGCTTCATGTCTGAAGTCAGCATTCTCACATGCATTGGTTTCTATGCAGAGGTGCAGAGCAGAAGATGCTCGTTACTATGATTCTCCCCAAAGAAGAAAAATAATTTTGTGTGAGTGTGGGTTGTTGGATGGCTGCATTAATTTTTCATTGCTGGTGGCATGAGCATGTTGTAGGGCATGTGTGTTTTTATGCCAGGACTGAGCCTTAGAATAGGAAGTCTTCAGCAGTTTCTCTTAAGTATGTTTCTAGCATCAGTAGGGCAAGGAAAACAGCTATCTGCAGTGGTGCAGGTAAGATTTGGAAAGTTGTGTCTGTAACAGACACAAGTGGGCTCAAAGAAAAGTCATTTAATTTATATTTCTTTTTAAGGAGGAATTAGCTTTTAATTTTCTTTTAGGTAAGAAAGGGGAGGAAATCTTAATACTGCAACCCTAGAGAGGTGGCTCCCATGCAAAACAAAAGGCTCTGTTCTATAGTCTTTTAGTGAAGCAGTTCTGGTGGTAGTAAATGAAGCTACTTGCATAAAAACCCACCAGCAAGACATCTATACAAAACACCTTGCTGGAGAGATGGTAAGATAATTTCCAGAGCCTGCTGTTTGATTGACAGTCTCTTGGATGAAAAGCTGATAGACGGTTTAAGGAACAGCGCCCATAGAGCCATCTGGCTGCTGATTAAAAAGTGCCTCCTCATCTTGGGTTCAGGCACCTCGAGTTAATTATAAAATAACTTCTTCCCTCTTGTAAACCTCATTTTCATCTGAAAGAGTATTACTGTCGCTGCGTGAAGTGACAGCTCTGAGGCGAAGCAGAGCAGTGGCTCAGTGGCACAGCTGCGACTCCAGGAAAAGCGTTTTCAGGAGGTGGAGCTGCCTGGTGACTAGTTGTCGATATCTGCGCCTCCGAGTAGGGCAGAGGGAGGCTGTCGGGCGGCAGGACAGCAGCACCTGGGGTTGGCAAGATCCTCCCGAGTGCCCTCTGGAGGCTGCGGAGGTGTAGATGGAGTAGCTCGTGCTTCTGGCTGGAAACCAAGCCCAAGAGCTTCAAAAGCCAGCCTTGTACCTGCGCTGCTGCTTAGCCCATCTGCAGGGACTGTACCTCCCCTTCTCATCCCGCTCTTCCTACAGCTGCCCTATGGACCCCTCTCCCGTCACACACCCTCCCCATTTCAGATTTCCCTATCCCCCAGCCTATTCGGCCATATCATGCTGTGTTTACCCCTTTCCGTTCATTCTCCTTGTGCAACCCAATTTTCCTTCCTCTTCCCCTCCTTCCTCTTTCACAGCTGTTCTTTATTTCTCAGCTTGCCTCTGGGCACAGCTAGGAGGAACCAAATTACAATCAGGATGTGATCCATAGGAATGATGATGGAAGTACACAGAAGTGACACTGCGCAAATAAAGCTCAGTGTCCACTTGTGATTCCGGTAAATCCTCTAGGCTGCAGTCTCTGATGTGTAGGATGCTTCCTTACATTTAGAGATTGTATTGTGTTACCACAACATGGACATGCAGAAGGATGTTTTTTCACAGTATTAGGATGCATGGGTGACATCAGAAAATCAGGCAAGAATATCTCATTATAGAACAAGAACTGAACAGAGGAAAAAAGTTATTAATCTTGGCTGAACAGAGAGAGAAGGGAATGTAATTCAGAAAGGAGCCAGGGGAGGGTTTTTTTTTAAATCAAAAGTCACGAGAGCCCTGGGTAAAAGAACCCAGGAGCAACTTCAGTGCATTACACAGGATAGAGTAATTGGAAATACTGCTCAGACAGGGTCAAGTGATGGCAAACTTTAATAATACTCTTTTTAAAGTGTATTCTAGGGGAAAGGCAAGATCTGTGGCAGAGGAACTGAAAGCTGAAAACAGAGAGATTTGCTTGAGAGTGTTAAGGAGATGAATGAAGTTATCTTAAAGGCTTTAACATCAGAGGAAGGTTTGAAATAACTGAATAAAATACCAGAAAGCTGCACAGAGCGGGGGGAAGGAGATCACCACTTGGGGTGTGCTTGTTAAATTGTGAAGCTTCAAGAAATCAGGCTTGCAATTCCTAATATTGTAAGTCTTCACTAAAATTAACCTCCAAGTCATTTTTGCTGGGACCCTCTTGCTGTGCTGGTTTGCTGTGATACTCTCTGTCTCAAAGGCAACCTGCAAATAAGTCAGGCCAAGCAGGCTGAGAAGAATTCATCACTGTTGGAGCCATAGGGTTTGTTGCTGAGGACAGCAGGTTCTTTTGTCAATGGAAACAATTACCCTTGTAGCTGGGAGAACACGAAATGTTTCATGCTGATGACTTGATCCCAACTGAGAAAGTGCGGCTGTCTTAAGGAGTGTGCTTCATAGCTGCCTTACACCAAACATGAAGTACCACTGTTCCCTTCCTGTAGATGAACTGAGGTCTGTCAAGTCTGGCTTGCCACTTGTCTTGCTCTCATGTTTTAACTTCTTGCTTTTCAAAGTGCTGTATTAAAAGAGAACTGATTCCTATTGTGGGATTAGCTAAACTAGCGTTTCTCATGCCAGCAAGATGATGTGGGGTTTTATCCCAGAAATGTGCTTTCAGGACCACACCACATTCGTGGCCACAGCTAAGCAGTTGATGTACACCAGAGAAATCAGATGGTGATTAAATCAAACCATTCCATTGAGCAGCAGCCCTGTGACAAACTAAGCTGTGTCAGAAGTTGAAGTATTATTTCAGGGACTGATTTAGACCTGCCTGACCAGATTAGGACTGATATTGCACAAGCCTCTATCAGGACTCTACCTTTGCCTCTGGGGCTTAGAACTGTTGCACCAGTCTTCTCTCACTGCATTTCTAGATATGCAGTTCTCAAACGTGTGCAGGACCAAATGAAACCAAAAGCATATCCACAAATGTGGCTGTATTCTTTGTGCTTGCCTTGTCCTTGGCTTCCTTGTCCCATGCCTCTGCTCTCCCCTCCTCTTCAGCAGTGTTGCCTGCTATTCCCATCACTCATTTGGGAAGGGGAAGCCTGAAACCAGGCTGCCTTCTCTCTGTCTCCATCCTCTCCTCTTCTTGCAAAGTGCCACAGTAGCACAGCTACATCCACGGAGGCAGTGAGAGGATATGCAGATTTAGGGGGAGGTGCTGAGGCCAGGTGGTGCCAGATCCCACAGTACTCAGGACTGAGGAAGGTGTCCTAGCATCACACTTAATGGGATGAAGGATCCAAGGAACACAACCTCAAAGAGGGGTAGGAAGTTCGTGGAGAGAGCAAAAGACTCTCAGCCCCTTGCAGTCTGGATGATCCCTTGCACAAAGGTATAAAGTTATTGTAGTAAGTGTTGATATAGCAGCCCCACTGGGGGCTCATGAGAGATTCAGTTTTCAGAATTGCAGCTGCCTGGATACCAGAGGAAGGATGCTCTGTGCTAAGCTTTGCAATCCTAGAGTTAATTTGGGGACACTCTGAGCTGGGACAGAGGTCTGTGAACAAGAAGCTTTTTCTTGCTGCTAGAGTGGAGCAATACGCAGCTAGCACCCATATGTTCTCAGCTATTAAGCCCATGTCCCTTAGATTATTTATGTAGCTTGGAAATTTCTGTAGGCTTTGCTGATCTTCTCTGTCATTTGTTAATTACCATGTTGTATCATTCCTTCACGCTCCTAGTCCTTATTAGCATCTTTCAAGGGAGCCGTCTGCCCACCAGAATTGCCTGTAGCCTCAGGAGGGATGTAAGGTATGTGACATCTTCACAGAACAGCCTTGTTTTTCACTGGCATTGCAAGGAGATAGAGAGGCAGCAGCTGACTTCCACTGTTAATTTCAATGTAGTAAATCTGAGTGATGCTTAGGCAGATGGGAGCAGCAAAATCCACAGCAGAGTATGAGTTCCCCATGGAGGGGGCTGTCCTAGCCTCCCACTGACACCCAGCTCAGGAATAGCAGCTACTCATGTTTTAAGGGCCCAGTTTCCCAGCTTCCTGCTTGTAAGTGCACAGATCCCACCACTGCCTCATGAAACTGTCTTCAAGTGGGGAGTGAGGTGGGTGAGATGCAGGGGGGCTCGAGTGCAGAGGTGATACAGTGAGTGGTTACAGCCTCCCCAAGGAAGCAGCTTGGGGAACAAGAAGCCCAGGCTTACTGCCTGCTTGCTGCCTGGGTCAGTGGCTGGATGAGACTGCCTGGCTTGCAAGCAGGTGCCAGAAACTAACACTGGGTCTCAGCAGGTGTGCACAAAAGCCCTGTCTGGTGTGAAGGCAGTTATTGATAATAATTAGGAATTGATTACTCTGACAATTTGCATTTTTCACACTGGCTAATTCACACTGCACTCTACCTATGCAGCGTATTTTATTCACATGGCAATTACAGACCCTGCTTGCTCCCTGCTATGTCCAATAGTAGGATTTAGATCTATCCATGGTCCAGAGGGAACTGGAGGTTCTCAAATCAGTCCCTTGGCCTAAAGTCCTCAGGATTAGACACAGCAGTGGTGTCCAAGCACCTGGCCTATGTGCAGCCTATGGGTTCTCAAGGCTTGGAGCAGGCGTGCACTTAGGCATCTTGGCCTAGAAGCCTGTCTTACAGGCTGTATCTCCCTTGATCTTCATGCCCTTCACCATCTTACCTAAGGGCTTG